GTAAAAAAAATATAAAATAAAAAAATCAGCAAAAACACAATATATTAAATGATTGATGTAAACAATATCAGCAAAGAAACCATAATTTTATGGATAACATTCAATTTAAAAAAAAAAAATTAATGTACAAATATATAGAAAAGGGAAAAAATTCTAATTATAGAAGAGCAAAATACATGATTTATTAACACATGATGTTTTAGAAAAAATTATTAAAATGATGTGTAAAGGGGAAACTTGGCACCATTTGAAACTTTTTTGTCTAAGAAAATTGCATCAGCATAAAAGTTCATGTTCTAGGGAATCAGGAAGAGGTCGTTCAAATGAGCGAAGGGGTGTTTCCTTCACAATTTAGGGCACTATTTGTTATTGAATGTTTGTTATGATAGATGTTCAATTTACAACTGACTAAAATTTAAAAGTAGGTTGCCTTTATTGAATGTTTGTTATGATAGATGTTCAAATTTTCTGTTCATTGTGTTTGTGCTTTCCCAGTGTTGCATGTGGTCATGATATGGTTGGAAATATGTTCCTCATTTCATGCTTGTAGCTTTACCTTGGGACAATTTATAATTAACTATTGTTTCCTTTTTTCTTTTATCTTTATTGATTTGTACTATGTAATGCAAGTATGCAATTGATAATTTCAATGTGCCTACATTGTTCTATTTCAAGTTTCCAGTTTTTCTTAATTATTTTTAATTTTTAAATGCCTACTTTATTGTATCTTAAAGCTCACAATCTAATCTTCTTGGGATACCTTGCCTTTGGATGTTACTTGAGCTACACAAGTTTTGAATGACCATTGAGACATATAATTTGATGCATGTACTGGTATAAAATACGTTGTCTTACATGAATGTCGTAGACCATGGTGATACCTTGATGTGCCACATACTGAATTGGCCTACTTACTGATATGTCAACTAACAGCGTATCTAACAGTATAGCATTATCATAAGTTACTTCTATTAAGTAGATTTTAAGAATTCAATTTGTAGAGTCTTGGAGGGGGAAAAATAAGTTGGGACTAATGATCTTTATCTTGTGTAAATAGAATTAGCCTTGCAACCTTGTTTTTATTTATTATAAAAATTACCAACTGATCCTATTAATTTGAATTTACCCAATTAGTCTTCAGTGAGACTTTTATAGGCATATTAGTCTTGAAAATCATACATTTTATCATTGACAATAATTGGAAAAATGATAAGTTTATTGTGAAAATTGGTATAAGCTGAAAATCGTGGGTTTGCGAGTTGGATTGTGTTAGCCTATTAATTTAGAGCATGGCCTGTTAGGTCTCAACTCCCGTTTATTGTTGATACGATACGCAATAATAGCGAGTCAAATTTATCATTATAAATTGTGTAAATTACACTTATTTGAGATTTGAAAAACATATAATTAGTCTCATGTTTTTTATATAATTATATTAATATCTTTTTTAGTGTGACATAGTTGAAATTAATCTAAATGATGGGTAGATACTAAAATATATAAAGACAAATATACATTTTAGTTAAAAATTGATAAGAATATCATTTTTTCCATCAATAATAACTGACGAAAAAATATTTAACTACTTTGTGAATTAAAATCTCAATGGAAGTTAGTGTAATTATGTCAAGTGTAGGACTAACTATATTTATTTAAAATTTCAAGGGATGTGAGTGTAATTTACTCAAAATTTTTATGAAAATATTTATGGGGATTTATTGAAAATTTTTGAACTATTTGATGATTTTTGAGACTTCTTGAAATTTGTTTGAGAGGTTGATTTGAAAAGATGAACAGTAAACCTGAACAATGTTTTTGTGCTAACAAGTTTAGCTAGTTGGGATTTTGAAGTTCACTATGAAACTTTTTGCTCTCGCCTTTCGTTTTTTTATTGATGTAAGCTCTAATGTTGTATATTTATTTTAATCAATAAAATTCCCTTTTTTACCAATAAAAAAAATGTTTAGCTATAGCTAAACTTTGTGTCAAATTTGACACAAGTTATGACAATTGGTAAAATATTGCCTAATCATTGGAATTTAAAAAAACTGATCTTCATACTAAAAAATAGCTATAGCAGCTGAGATGGTCCAAAGAATTTAGTAAATGGGGGTTGGTATGATTAAGGATTATTTACACAAAGACCCCTTAAATAATTAAGAAATATCATTTTGAACTACTCAATTATAAAAGCGTACAAATTGACCTCCTAAATTATTGAGAAATATTATACCTTTTAAACTATAAAAGCATACTAATGTTCCTAAATTATAAAAACGTACAAATTAGACCGTTAATTTAGAGATTTAAAGTGATACTTCTCAATAATTTAAAGAGTTTTTGTGTAAATAACCCTATAATTAACTAGTCTAGATGATCTGTCTCCTACTTGTTTCATACTTTTCTAATTATTGATCTTAATAATGTGATAATGTTGGAAAGATAGGAAAAATGAACCATGCTACTAAATTACTATAACAATATGAGAAGAAACTAAAATAAATAAAGGGATAAAATTAGAGAAATCCGACCATTAACAAAATTAAATATGATTTTAATGATCAAATGACCTCTACTTTTTATATTTGTTACGTATATGGCTTGAATGTTCGGCAATTGTTAGAGCTCTTTTGAGACTACGTGGGATTATTCCAAACCATTTTGGTGCCCTGAAATTTTTAGCGTCTCTCGAGTAGATTATTTTTTATAAAAAATTAAATTGATCAAAGATTGACAACTATTTATTAAATCACAATTGCATTATATATAAAAAAAAATAAAAAATAGGAAGTATTAATGGAGGGTAGAAGACCAAAAAAAAAATGTGTAAAACATATAGGGGTGCAATTCCTTGTATGATGGGATACAAGGCAGAATTGCTTCATTCAATGTCTATATAATTTATTTTTATTTATTTTACTGAGATCTAAATCACCCTAAAACAAAGTAACAATTTATTCTTAAAATCGTGAGATAAATGTCATCTAATCATCTGAGTATTACTATAAGATCAACCCAATTTTTGCATAACCGGTATGCTTGACGAGTACTAAAAGGTTCAATTGAAATTACTTAAGTGGGCCAAAAATTGACTCTACAATCCATTTAATATGTGAAGCAAATTACCTTATTCCAAGATCCCAAACAAATCAAACGAGAGTAGAAGTGCTTGTTGTGTCCTTCATTATAAACAAACTCGGAATTGTATTAAAATTCTTATATGGAGTGACCAACAAAGTTGAACAAAGATTTGTATGCATCTTCAACATACGACCACCGGTTCAAAGGGTCAGAAGTGATATCGATGCCATTAAAAGAAAGATCACTGACCTCACTGCAAGTTTACTTACTTGCGGCATGAAAAGTATAGGTGAGGGAGCTAAAGGGCTAATTTTAAACGAGATTTTTAAAAAAAAATTTAACACCATTATAATTTTTATTCGAAATTTATTTTTCTCTTTTTGAAATGCAAAATTACTAACAATTAAATCTTAAGTTTTGATAACATATCATTTTCACTAGATAATATTTGCTTAGTTATTTAATTTTTCTTGTGACATAATCTACCCGAGTCCATACTACATAGCTTTAAAGTTGTCAGGATTTGAGCATTTAATGATATTTTTTTTATGACCCTAGCATTATTTTTTTTTTCAAATATTGTAAAAAACTAAAGCATATATAACTAATGACATGAAAAATTATCTTTAAAAACTTATAAATTGGACAAAAAGGTAAATATGCGTTCATTAGAAACCCAAATATCCAACTCATAAGAAATTGGAAAGAAAATTCAAAATTTAATATAACAAATAGATTAACAAGATTTCATTGCGAATATAAAAATGAGGGTGAATTATGTTAATGGTTCCTATAGCTTAGGATTTGTGTCACTTTGGTTCATAAATTTTTAATTGTGATATATTTCGCCTTAAATTTTGAATCTCACTCTAAATAAAGACAGTAGAAGACATTGTTACTCCATTTTAAGGGTAAAGTCGTCAATTTAATAAAGAGTAATGATACATCCTACTAATTTTGAAACTTTAATTGAGTTTTAATGATGTGACAAAAAAAAAAAAGAAGCCAAAACATCATATCAATGGGTGTGGCTCATCCTCTAGAGCTCCTTTATAGAGCTCTCAAACATTTTTATTTGATAAAAATAAATGTTAAAAAATTATTTTCAAATTTTTAAAAATTATTTATGCCTACCAAAGATAAAATTATATAAAAATAATAAATCTTTTATATTTTTATTATTTTTATTTTTTTATCAAATTAATTTTTAATATGTATTTAGATGATGATCATGTAATGAGTGGTTATTTTTGTTAATATTTTTTGATGGTTATAATGTAATAGATGACTGTATTTATTGTTAACAGATTTTTTTTATGATTATCATGTAATGGATGGTTATAAGGTTGTTAATGTATAATCGATATGTTTAATATATGAAATGTTTTTAATTTTGAATTTTTTGATTTAATAAATTAGTTTAACAATAATATTAAAGTTATCGACACACGTTTGACTTTTAAAAAAATTCAAACTAATTTAACAAAAATAAATATAAAAAAAAAATTAAAAAAAATCATTTCTACCCTCTCAAAAGATAAAATTATATAAAAATGATGTGTTTTAAAAAAAAAATTTACCAATTTAATTTTTAATTTCTTAATTTTTTTTTTCTGAAAGTAGATTCTAAAAATCAGACAAACAGAAATTTATAATCAAAAAAAATTCAACATTATTCATTAAAAAAATGTTATTACATTTTAAACAACATATAAGTTAACTAATACAAAATAAGTTGTATGACAATTTTGCTCTTAAAATAAATCATTTATAAAGAAAATATATTTGATTGTTTTTATTTTGAACAAAATTCTAAATTTAGGATTAAATATATGATAATTAAAAAATTAAAAATTAAAATTACATAAATCTCAAATTACAGAGAACTTTCCCAGCTTGCAATCAGACACAAATTAGGACGTGTTTGGATGAGTAGCTTAATCATACTCGTATGTTCTGAGGTATATGGTCATAGTCCAAACAAGCCTTTCGGCTCAAATCTTGGGTCTCAACCCCAACCCCAACCCCAATCCAAATCCAAATGGTCTGTGTGTGTAAAAAGCACTTCGTTTCTTTCACCTAAATTAGATCCATGATAGTTGTTCAAATTTTTGTAGCATAGGGAGTATTGTATGGGAGTCATTTTTGCTTTGAGGGTTTACTTGGATTTGGATCTCCTTGGTATGGGTTTTTTTGATAGTATGGTTTTGGATGTTCCACGAGTACGGGCAATGGCAATTGACATTGCGAAAATGCCGTTAATAAATAGGGCTAAAGGTGAAAGAGAAGGTATTGACCTTGACAGGTGCTTTTCATGTTTAATCTGCATTTCTTTTCTGAATTTTTCTTTTCCTTTTTCTACTTTTTTGTTCCTTTTTTCCCAAAATGATGTATGACCTTGACAGAGTTCTTATTATCAACAACAGGTTTGGAGTGGAATCTGCACCTGCAATTGTATTTTTGAAGAAACATGGAATCAAACCTGTTGTGTACCATGGTATGTCTCTCTTTTTATTTTGTTTCATAGTCTTTCTTGCTACTCTTTGTAACATAAATAATGTGTATGTACATAACAAGCTAAGCAGTCCACATTACTGCAGGACCTGCCAACAATTCATGTTTTGTAGATATAATGGAACAGAATAAACATCAAGGTAATGCTGTTTGTTTGTACTTTATCAAGTTTTATAATTGGGGCTTTGACACTACAACAAAATTTGCCCAGTCATATTACTTGAGTGAGTGCAACCATTGTGTAAATGGCTTGTTATAGTGATTCTAATGTGCAAGTAAACCTCATGTGATTGACAAGTGCAAATGTTAATGACTATGAAGTTTTTCCTCGGTACATGTTTTCCTATGTAGAAATCTTCCTTGATAATTTCCTTCACATGAATCGAATTGTACAGAACTTGTCAGGTTATGATTTTGTTTTCATTTGCAAAGACGTTGTGTTGCAACCTTTTTTCCGTATTGTGTAAATTTGTGGTAGAATCTTTTGTCAAATGTGGCCCTCCTTATAAAGTAACCCTTTTTCTTTAGATTTTACGGGAGTATAAGCCTGCAGAGTGTCCACCATTTTTCCCACATAGTAGAATAAATGACTCAGTAATGCATCCTGCATAGTTGCTTTTTGTGACGGATCATCTTTGTGTCTGCATTTGAGAGTCAATGGGAAATTGACTAGGTTGTACAAGTTGTTTGCTGGACTAATCTAAAAATTTGGACCTTTAACATTTTTGAATTTTCTAAAATCATTTTAATTTTAAAATTTTGAATTCAATCGTATAGTTCACAATTTTATTTCTGAAACAAAATGATTATATGTACACGCATCTTGTGCGCCACCGCTTTAGGAGATGGTATTGACACAATGTTTAATATTTTGATTTTTTTCAAAATACCCCTATATTTGGAGTTTTTATGAAAATTAAGTAAAGAGGAGGACAAGTCTCAAATTCATGACCATGGATTTAATAATAAATGCTCTTACCACTTGAGTAAAGCATGTGCATTTTTTTTTTATCATTATTCTTATAATATATATATATATTTTTTGAGTTGCACACTCGTTGCATGCTGATGGCTAGTATATATATATATGTTTTAGTCCATCACTTATATTTATTGCTCATAAAAAACAAATAATTATGAGCATAGGAGGAAACAAAACAAAAAAGAAAAGAACACTATACATAACAAAAGTTTCTCCTTGATAGTGAGCGTGAGACGTCTTTTTATCGCAATCTTTTTAACAACTAATGCTAATTTTGCCTCTAGTTTAAAATTTTCTATTTGATGTCACTAGACAGTGAATTTTTTTTCTAATTTACAAACAATGAAATATGGTTTTTCATTTTTTAGCATTTAATCCTCGACTTTTAGCTTTTAACTTTTAATTTGAAATTTCTCTATTTATAAAAGATAATTTATAAATAATAAAAATTTCATTGTTTGAAAATAAATAACATTTTCTTCAATATTGCAAATTCAATACGAACTCCTACTAAATAGATTTCAACGAGAATATTCCAAAAAATACTTTAAAAAAATAAAAATTTAAGTTAATAGTTAGTATTTAAAAGTTTAAAAAATAAAATTAGCTATTCAGTAATTGGGTTGTGTTTTCTGCACGTGTTGTCCTGCTCACAACAAAACTTATGGGCGTGTTTGTCTTCTTATAAAAAATCTTATTATAAGGGGTCTATTATAAAAAATCTCAACTTTCATTGCTCTGGTCATGTATTAAAAAAATCTCAATTGATATGAACCAATATAGGGGTGTGATTAGGTCAGTTTGGTTTGAGTTGACATTAAATTTAGAACCAATTTAAATGAATCATGCACTTGAACCAAATCAATTCAATTCAAAAAAAATAAAAAAAAAATTGATCAATAATTAAAATAAATAAGTCTTTAATACTTAAATATAACGCAAACACAAAATAAACATTGTTTAATACAAGTTAACTGCTGTGAATAGTATAGTGAAATCTAACTCAAGCTTAAAGCTTTGCTTTTTTTTTTTTTTGGGATCAGAAAGCTTAAAGCTTTGTTTGGTTTTAGATTTTTGGCTAAAAATGCACAAAAAGACAAAATTGGCTACATAAGCCAACAAGACAAAATATTACATCCAAACCATAATTATTATACTTTTTTTTTCTCACAAAAGCCAAAAAAACTAAACTAAACGAGGCTAAAAAAGTTCCAGCACAAAAAAACCAACTACAAAAGCCAATGCCAAACGAAGACTAAATACAACCTATGCAAATCAAATCTAGTAACACAACTAATAAAATAAAATTAAGTACCATGAATTCCAACTCTAACTTCCAGTATTTTCTTCTTCCACTTATCATTCTTTTTCTTCTTCTTCTTCTTCTTCTTTCATTTCCCATTCTTCTTCTTCATATCGACATAAAATTTCTTTCACTTCTCGTTCATATCGATTGAAAATCAAAATAAATAGAGAGTGAAAAATCTAGAAATCCCCTAGATATTGATTTGTGATTATGTATCAATTTTAAGCAATAAAACAATCCCAAACAAACAATCAAAGACAAATCAACACAACGATTTTATGTGGAAAAACCACAATTGGGAAAGAGAAAAGGTGGGTGAAAATAAATAAAATGTAACTATATTTTATGTATATTTTATCTAATTTTTCATTTTGTCTTTTCTAAATACCAACTCAAGTCCATGATCCAAACACAACTTAACAAAATAAATATGTTCCTTTCATGGTTTGAAACAAGGCCTCGACAAGGATTTCTTAACCAAAATGGCCACACGAAACAAATTGTTTTTACATTTGAAATTTTGATTTACCAAGTTCAATTGAATGTTGATTTATCTGTTAGAAGGGCCATATGACACATGCATTGCATGTGCACTGATTGGTAATTTAAAAAAAATATTAAAAAAAAAAAATTCGTTCAGTTCTTTTATGATACTCTCTATATACACATATATGTATGTACATAATAACGTGGATATCAGATTTTTATCAAGTCCTATTCTTCATGGCTATCTATTCTAATATATAAAAGGAAGGCCATTAGTGGTGTTGACACTTTTTGTCTCATACTTTGATTTTTTTTTTTTCTTCAAAATACCCCTATATTTGGAGTTTTTATAAAAATTAAGCAAAGAGGAGGACAAGTCTCAAATTCTTGACCATGGATTTAATAATAAATTCTCTTACCACTTGAGCAACGCATGTGCATTTTTTTTTTTTATCATTATTCTTATAATATTATTTTATTTTTTCGAGTTGCACATGCATTGCATGTGCAGACTGCTAGTATACATATATTTTTTAATCCATCACTTATATTTATTTTTTGTAAAACCTAAATAATTATGAGCATAGGAAGAAACGAAACAAAAAAGAAAAGAACACCATACATAACAAAAGTTTCTCCTTGATTGTGAGCGTGAGGCGTCTTTTTATCGCAATCTTTTTAACAACCAATGCTAATTTTGCCTCCAGTTTGAAATTTTCTATTTGATGTCACTAGACAGTGAACTTTTTTTCTTATTTACAAACAAATGAAATATGGTTTTTCATTTCGTAGCATTTAATTCTGGATTTTTAGCTTTTAATTTGAAATTTCTCTATTTATAAAAGATAATTTATAGATAATAAAAATTTCATTGTTTGAAAATAAATAACATTTTCCTCAATATTGCATATTCAATATGAACTGTTACTAAATAGATTTCAATGAGAATATTCCAAAAATACTTTTAAAAAATAAAAATTTAAGTTAAAAGTTAGTATTTAAAAGTTAAAAAAATAAAATTAGCTATTCAGTAATTGGGTTGTGTTTTCTGCACGTGTTGTCCTGCTCACAACAAAACTTATGGGCGTGTTTGTCTTCTTATAAAAAATCTTATTATAAGGGGTCTATTATAAAAAATCTCAACTTTCATTGCTCTGGTCATGTATTAAAAAAATCTCAATTGATATGAACCAATATAGGGGTGTGATTAGGTCAGTTTGGTTTGAGTTGACATTAAATTTAGAATCAATTTAAATGAATCATGCACTTGAACCAAATCAATTCAATTTTAGAAAATGAATTAATCAATAATAAATAATTAAAATAAACAAGTCTTTAACACTTAAATATAACGCAAACATAAAATAAATATTGTTTAATACAAGCCAACAGCTGTGAATAGTATAGTGAAATCTGACTCAAGCTCACTTCGTTTGGTTTTAGATTTTTGGCTAAAAAAGCACAAAAAGACAAAATTGACTATATAAGCCAATAAGACAAAATGTCATATCCAAACCATAATCATTACATTTTCTCTCACAAAAGTCAAAAAAACCAAACCAAACGAGGCTAAAAAAGTTTCAATACAAAAAAGCCAATGCCAAACAAAGACTGAATACAACCTATGCAAATCAAATCTAGTAACACAACTAATAAAATAAAATTAAGTACCATGAATTCCAACTCTAACTTCCAGTATTTTCTTCTTCCACTTATCATTCTTTTTCTTCTTCTTCTTCTTCTTCTTTCATTTCCCATTCTTCTTCTTCATATCGACATAAAATTTCTTTCACTTCTCGTTCATATCGATTGAAAATCAAAATAAATAGAGAGTGAAAAATCTAGAAATCCCCTAGATATTGATTTGTGATTATGTATCAATTTTAAGCAATAAAACAATCCCAAACAAACAATCAAAGACAAATCAACACAACGATTTTATGTGGAAAAACCACAATTGGAGCGCCTCCAATTGTGATTAAAAAAAAAAACCATGGGCAAAAGCCACAAAACAATCCACTAAAAAGACATAAAGGAATTACACAAGTATACTCTCAATTACCTAGCGAATCCACGCCTGAATTGAACCAACCCCTATATGCCTCTTCCAACCCTGTCTTCACCTCGGAATTGTCTTAACGATGAGCCACTCCAGAATCCACCAAAGCTTCAGGCTCAAATTCTTCAGAATCCACTGAAGAACAACTCTCTCTTTTGTGTAGAACAAACAAATAATTCTTTGATGTATACTCTTTAAACCATGAGTTGAATACTCAATCAAAACATCAAAGAAAACTAGCAAACTATCCCTAGATATAAACCTTAATATCCAAGAAGAAGATCTGAAGAAGTAATCCTAAAATTTGATAGAAACACGTACTTATAGAAATCTGGGACTGCGAAGCTCACTCGGGTGAAGACTCTCTTGCTCGAGCGAGGAACCAAAAACAAGGGTTTTCCATAAGTGGCTTCGCTCGAGCCACACCACCAGTGCCCGAGCACACATTCACCTCTCTCAGGTTTTTTGCGAGAACTCCTTCGCTCGAGCGAGAACT